TTTCTCTCAGGCTTAAATTAATACTTCTAGAATGCAATGTTGTGTCCTCAGCACTAAAGCTGAGGACTGGCATGGTCATTTCCTGTCTGGAAATCTGCATACAGTAGAAAGACAAACAGTCCTGTAAATAAAGACTCGTGTCCAGAAACTGTCTTGTCTACGACGTGCTTATTGACCGTAGTCAGATGCTCTGCTGATTAAAAATTGATTCCTTTTGAAAAAATCTAATCAACAGAACAGGATTCTTTCATATGTGGAGGGCGCAGCTGCTGACACAGGGGGGAGTAGACCTGTTATTAACCCCTGCCCTTCTGTGTGCATCCTTGCAAAGCCTGCACACTCACAGTCGCACAAACACATGCGTGTGCCGCCTCATGGCCCAGGGCCAGACGCAGGCCCAGACGCCCTGAATTATTCAGCAGTCTGGGAGAAAGCTACAGCTACCTCGTTGTCGGTCTATGCATGAAGGAGGTAGGGGCCACTAACTGTACTGGACCATCCAGGCCCTGGGAGTCAGGTGTCCCTAAAGAATGGCCCAAGGGAGAAGGAGTGGGGGTAGACTATTTGTGGCAGGGGTAGGTGGGGGTGGAGCGGAGAAGGTAAAGTTGGTGTAGTGGACTGGGGAGATGTGAGACTGAATTTATCATTGGTGTAGCCAGGGTCACAGCAGGTTAATGATGTCACGTGTCTAGACGGACTCTCTTCTTGCCCTCTGCCTGGAGAGCCAACTGGGGATAAAACATAAATGCTGGGGCTATTGATGGTGGTCAGATACTCCTAATACGTTACAAGACATAATCTTTTTTTAGCCAGTGGTCAGGATTTGTATATTTTTAGTCAAAGTTTGTAAAGGCCTCCTGACCAGATGCATATTAGTGCCATTCACAGGCTATGCAAACATGAATATTATTTATATATTTTTTATTTTGGTGGCTGACATCAAAAGCAAATCATTCACAGAACTGAGCCAAAATGACAGCACCCACTCACTGACAGCAAGTTCAAGATTAGAATCTGGCCTGGTCAAGAAAGGTTTTCCTCTTCTGAGATAAATCATAAAAATAAATGCTTATCCTCAAGTTTAACCAATTTACACACCTTTAACTATAGAGGGACTAAACAGAACAAAATTCTGTGACGGGACCAATACCTTTTCAAGCTCACACTCCACTCATGTGACCTCAACACACAGGGTCAATCCAGCCCTCTCACTCACCTCTCTGGGTCTCAACACAGTCCAAGGTTCATATTTAACCACAGAATGAATTACTAAGTGCAGGGCTGCCTTTAATATGTTAAAAACCAAAAGAGTCAAAAGCTTCGCCCACACGACAGCCTGTGATTAGAGCCTCTTCATCCAGCACTCAACACTCAACCCATTATCATTACACAGACAATTACTGCTCCACCAGGGCCACTGCCACCACCCCAGTGCGTTTAGTAATCATGGCATTCTTCCTGGAAAAATGGGGGTAAGAAGGGGGAGGACACGGTTAGCTGATGGCAACAGATTTGTTGTCATGAGACCCGTCACCTTGGTGATCCTGGGCCAAAACCTTCAACCCAAGCTCGGGGGGAAGACAAGCTACAAACAGGGAAGCTCAAAATGCACTGAAGATACTAGGAGATCATCTTTGGCTTGTGGACAAGAGAGACAGCACTGATTACTTGTAAGCACATGAGTAATATCTGATACCTCTTTTAAGTGACAGTTAAATAGCATTTCAGTGAATCAAACTACATCTTTTTATACAATTCTATTTCAGCTATCCACTTGTTATAGCCACTCAAAATAAGCGAGAAACATCACAAGCATGCTCTTGCATAAATAGGCACCTCAGGCAATTTACATTTCTTTGGTCAGTATACAGTCCAAATATTTTATGTGTCTAGTAAAGCTTAAGGCATCTGTTGCATAGTCATCTCATGCATCATCATGTAGTCCTATACAGCTACACAGCTATTCCACCTTGGTTTACAGCTAGAGACCATAGCTCATCTTTTTACAGTAACAGTTTTTATTAATGTTCTCTCAACAGTGCTCAGTTTCACCACAGGACTGCTGTATTTTAACCCACTGAGGTGTTTAATATCCCAGAAACACTGCTCTGCCTGATATATTTGCGCTAGCACCAGACATACTAACATGTTAGAGTCACTGCTTCACAGAGTCCGCCAGCCACATTCCTGATCACTGGTGGCCCTATGGTGTTCCCTTTCCACTGAACACTGGAGTAGAGGGGGTTAAGATGTAAGTTTGGGATCAATATCTTTTTGAACTCTTTTTATATCTATGGCCAAGTCTTAACTTCCTGGTAGAGGCAACAGGTTTTGGGCTGAAATATTCTGGTAGTTAAATGAATTCATGATGCCATTGGTGGTGCAGTGGGTAGCACTGCCACCTCACAGCACCAGGGTCACCATGTCAATCCTGAGTTTCGCATGTTCTCCATATGTTTGTGTGGGTTTCCTCCAGGGTCTTCTACTTTCCTCCCACTGTCCAAACACATGGAAGTAGGCAGATCTGGCTATGCTATGTTTGTGAACGTGTGTAAGCGTAGTTCCCTGGGATGGACTGGCATCCCATTCAGGGTGAATTCTCCTGCCTTGAACTCTGTGTTACCAGGATAGGCTCTGGATCCACCCTGACCCTGACCAGGATAAAGCAGTTACTGAAGACGAATGAATGACTGAAACAATGAATGAATGAAGCCACTGCATTTATGGCCATAAAGTGTGATCTTTCTCTCATCTGACCCCACAATACACAATTACAATTGTAGTTACAATGATGCTTAGTGAAGTTCAGATGTAGTTAGGTGCTATCAGGAAGGACTCATTTCAAGCAGCTTGTTATGGTTGGTTTGCTAGAGGCTGACACAAGGACACTTTGAACAGTGTCCCTAATATAAAGTAAAGCAAGTTTTAAATAAAATGCTGAAATAAGTCCAGTAGATGTAAATGTATTTTATTATTAGAGTATCATAATAATCAATCAATATCATAATAAATCATGATAAAAGCTTAGGCAATTGTAGCAATTCTGGTCAGGTGGCTCCTGAAGCCTATTCTGGGAACACTGGCCGTGATTAGGAAATTATCGTGATACTATATTCACTACTGTCACGCTAGTTTAGAGGAACTTCATGCCACTTCAAGTCCCCCAAACCTCCTAAGAAAGCCATTTCAAACAAAAAAATTGGTGCAAATGTATTAAAATGCGTCGGAGAAAAACAACATTTAATGTTGTGTGGCAACCTAGGGCACGTGTTTCTGCCCTTTTAAAACAGTGTGTGTCTTATGAGTCAGATGAAGAACACTGATTTTGGCCTCAGATAAATAGCACCCACGCACACTAACTCACAGCACCCACTCCCCTCCACTTTGGCAAGTATCTATGTTCCAAGAGGAAATGCTTAATTTGCATCTGATGGCGGGTGCTATAACTGTTAAGGTCAACACTCTTTGCTGCATCTGAGCCAAAAGCAAGGGCAGGTGGCCCAGACGTGGACAGGATATACACACCCATTTTACCCCATTTGCACAATGTAATTTCCTCCCCTAATTCCACCAAGGTGACTGTGCATATATCTCAAACATCAGCACTTATGACAATCAAAATAGCTTTGTTGGTGACTGGGGGGGAACGAGAGATGAGATTCAGCATGAGATTCAAGCTGAAAACGTAAATATATTCAAATGTAGCAAATATATTCAAACCGTATACTGGTCTAGGATTTCACCAAGCTCTGGTTTGCACGTGTCCTTCAGAGAGAGGCAGCTGAGTAAGCACATAACTAATACGAGTACAAGTGTTGACACGAAAGAGACAAGTGAATAGGAAACAAAATACACAAGGTTCTATGAACACACAAAGAAAAAGAGTGTGTCAAGTCACATGTCATTCAAGAGCTGTAGTACAATATCAACATAGCAAATAATTTCCACCCACTTCCACAAGCAAAGGTTTAAGTAGAGGTTAGACTTATAAAAAAGAGCAGACTTGCAGAAAGAGCAGACTTTCTCTTGCAACACTGGAAAATGGGAGCTGCTGATAGTATTTCGGAGAGACCTAGTCAGACTATTAACAGTCCTAGAAATGGAACAGAGCTCCTCAGACAGCTGTTATAAAATGAATACAGAGGTGATGAGTGTAGGCTCAGATAAAGACTCCTCTTTTGGCGCTTTGATCATTAATATGGCAGAGCTCAAGGACAGTGCAGAGAAACCTGTAGGAGACGCATGAACATGTGGTTTCATCAGAGCTCACAGACAACATGTACATATACACCAAAACAGCTTATATTCCAGACATGATAAATTCAATCAATAACGCAGTTTGTATGGGACATCAAATAATCTAGGATGTTTCACACATTATCACTTTAGTGCCAGATGACTATCAACCAACATTCAAAACAAACCATAAACATTTTGCAAGAAGGTAATTGAGTAATAGGATAAGGCAATAGGCAAAAACCTCTGCCTACAGTCAGTCATGGTTTAGAAGGCAAACTGCATTTTCATCAAACTGAGTTTAACCATATTGATATAACACAGTAGTTCATGCAGTACAGTTATTAGTTATGCCATCATTGGTCCTCCCTCTGCTACAACTAGCTAAGTATAACAAATAAGTATAATATGATATTAACACACAATGATGTGTAGTGATTAAGGATGTGCACTAGTGACTGAGATGTTTTGATTCAAATTCTATGACTTAGAGAAAGCCTCTTCTGACCCTTTAGAAAAACATTCAACTTTAAAACAGCTTAGAGGTTGATTTGTATTCAAAAGCAACTGCCAAAGAATAAATGTAAATGCGTAACACAAATCTGGGGGCCACTCCACAAGCTAAGAGACTGGCTTAGCTTGGATACCTGCATTAGTATCCAATTTGAACATGTACATGGGGTATGTACATGTCTACGGAACACAATGTAGCATTTTTTTCTTCACAAATGCATAGCTTAGCTACATAGCATAGCTACAAAGGATCCCTGGAGGACTAGGGGTTAGGCCACAGCGCTCTCACCGCCACGGCCCGGGTTTGATTCCCGGCCAGGGTACCAACCCCAGCCACTGGGGTTGTGTGCAACAGTGCGCTCTCAGTGCCGGTCCCAAGCCCAGATAAAACTGGGGAGCGCTGCGTCAGGAAGGGTATCCGGCATAAAAACTGTGCCAAATCAAATACATAGACATGGACATGCTGTGGCAACGCCTAATGGAAGCAGCCAAAAGAGGAACAACAACAAGAGCATATAGGCACAGTGGATATAAAAAGTCTACACACCCCTGTTAAAATGGCAGGTTTTTGTAATGCAAAAAATTAAACCAAGATAAACCTTGTCAGAACTTTTTCCACCCTCAATGTGAAATTACAATGTATAAAAATTAAGAAAATTAGATGTATAAAAAAAAAGTATAAAAATCAGAAACACTTAGGGAAAAATAGGAAGAATAAGTTACAGTATATATATATATATATATATATATATATATATATATATATATATATATATATATATATATATATATACACACACACACACACACACAGTATATTAAAAAGTATAACCAGGTTGCATAAGTGTGCACAGCCTTTATAACTGGGGATGTAGCTGTGTTCAGAATGAACCTATCACATTCAATCTCATGTTCAAAAGTAATTATCATATAGCTGTCTATGAAATTATTCTGATTAACCCCAAATAAAGATCAGCTGTTTCTGTAGGATTTTCTTGACTGCTGAAGCCATGGTCCACAAAGAGCTTACAAAGCATGGGTCTACAAACAGGGTCTAACTGTCGAAAGGAATAGAAAAGGAGAGGAGTATAAAAAAAATTCCAAAACGTCAGACGTACTATGGAACACTGTGAAGGCCATCATCAACAAGTGGAGAAAATGGAGTACCACAGTGACATTACAAACAACAGGACGTCCCTCCAAAAACTTACCAGGGAGGCTGCCAAGTGACCTACGCCAACATTAAAGAAGCTGCAGGAATATCTGACAAGTACTGATTACTCTCTGCATGTGACAACAATCTCTTGTATTCTTCTGGCTAGACGGAAGCCCTTTTTCACAAAAAACATCCAAGCCCAACTAAATCACCCCAAACCATGTGGCAAAATGTGTAATGGTCTGATGATACCAATTCCAAAAGGTATATATATATATATATAATTCCATAATTCCAAAAGCTATGTTTGGCGCAAAAAAAAAGCACATCAACAAAAGAACACCAAACCCAAGGTGAAGCATGGTGGTGGCAGCATCATTCTTCAGTGCTGCTTTTTGTTCAGCCAGCACTGCAAGTTTTATCAAGGTGGAGGGAATCATGAATCGCTACAAATACCAGTCGATTTTAGTGCAAAACATTCAGATGACGAAAAGGAATTTCCCCTTTCAGCATGACAATTACCCAAAGCATACATCCAAATCAACAAAGGAATGGCTTAACCAAAAGAAGATAAATGTTTTTGAATGGCCTAGCCAGAGCCCAGACCTGAATCCAACAGAAAATCTGTGGGGTGACCTGAAGCGGGCTGTGCACAGGAGATGCCCTTACAATCTGACGGATATAGAATGTTTTTGCAAGAAAGAGTGGGAAAATATTGCCAAGTCAAGATGTGCCACGCTGATAGACTCTTACCCAAAAAAAGGTGCTTCAAAAAAGTATTAGTTTAGGGATGTGCACAATTATGCAACTAGGTTATTGTAAGTTTATTATTTTCCTTTTTTTCCCTATAAAAGTTTCTGATTGATTTCCACTTTATTTGTATATTTTGCAATTTCACATTAAAGGTGGGAAAAGATCTGACATGATTTTTCTTAGTGTCATTCTTTTACTTCACAAAAACCTGCCATTTAACAAGGGTGTGTAGACGTTTTACATCCATTGTATTTAGTAGGTTGAAACCATGTATATTTTAATATATAGCAATTTTATATTCATAAAGTCAGCAAAGGCTGCTGACAGAACCACGGCCCCACTGCTCCACAGCTGTGAGAAGGGTCAATATAAAGGTATTGTACAAGTAGCTGCTTATAAAAATTTCATTTGTTCATGCTCCCGAGCGGAGCCCCCTCGCATCACGCCGGCTGCTGTGGTGTCTCATACACCACTGTGTAAATGTAGTAGGACTACATGCTAGTTCCATTTTCCAGCACAGACTTTCAACAAAAAAATTCCATCAAGACTCACTGCTGATTTTACACTAAATCGTTTGAGTTAAAAAAGTCTCATCCCACAGGCACTTGCTAGTCCCTACAGTGAAGCCATGGGTAACCCGAACGACAGTTTTGAGTCTGCTTCAGCTCAAGAGGGAGCGACAGAGGGAGTGAAGAGCAAGGCCCCCAAGTGAGATGCTGTGATGACACTCACCCTCATGTTTACACCCCACTGCTCAAGCCTCAGGGGAAAATGGGAGAAAGTGCTTCCCCTCTTCAGCAAGACCTACCGCACTGTTTAGCTAAACCTGCTGCTCTTGGTGGAGCACACACGAGAGAGAGAGAGAGAGAGAGAGAGAGAGAGAGAGAGAGAGAGAGAGAGTGAGAGAGAGACAAGCAAGAGAGCAAAAGAGAGCAAGTGCATAGAGAGGAAGTGGTAGAGAGAAAAAGAGAGAAAGCAAGGGGGTCCCCAGAGGGCTGAACAATCAGACAATTTCAAGATCACAAAGCATTAAACCAATCCCGGCAGGGTACACTAATTAAACAGCCGAGCCCGGCACCACCAACCAATCCCCACAGAGCAATTAAATCCATCCCCTCTAAAACACTGTGGAACCTGTCTGGGGAAAACTGCAAAGGAGAGAGAGGGAGAAAGAGAGAGGAAGAAAAAAAAAACAAAATTCATCCAGAAAAAAAAGAAAGATGTGGAATGCATTACACTACAAAAGGGATTTGAATGGGAACATTTCAATTCAGCGTTTCAACTTGCTTTAATTTTTTTAAATTATCCAGGTCCAAAATGCCTGAACAATCCTTTTTTCGGTAGGATCCAGAAAAAAGGGGGTACAGATATCACATTGCAAAATAGATATTTAAATGATTGTCTAAAAATAACAAATTCTGTAAATTTGTTGTAAAATAATCCACAAGACCAAACTCTCTCTATGGAAAGCAACAACAATGTGGAGAGCAGTGACACACACTTTAATTAAGTGAGAGTACACATCTATTGTTCTTTTGTTTACTGGTTTATATCATTTGGTAAAGATAGTGGTTTTGATAATCCCATGCTTACCTAACCACAGATCTCTGTTCATTAATACTACAGTTTGATTAATATACAACAGTGCATTTAGATGGACTGATTGATAAAGACATGATTATGTTATTTGATGCTGGAAAGTGAATAACAATGCTTTTTGTACCCAGACATTGTTGTTCCCAGATACACTTGAAAATGAGTTTTAAAAAGTTGAATGTGGCCATGAAACATCACTCATGTAGTGGCCATAACATATCACAAGACACAGTCTTTATGATGTTTTCATGATATCTGATGCTAATTTAATTTACTAATTAGTGTTAGGCAGCAAATTGTGCAACTTTCTCCACATAATTTGTACTTTATCACAAGTCTCTCACACTAACATTAAAAATAAATTTATTTCTAAGATTTACAAATTGTTAGTGCTTACATATTTCCATTATGGATGGGAAATATGGCAAAAATATCTTATGACTTTACAATACACAACAAGTATCGCAATATTTAGGAATGGCAGCAAATCAGTAGAACAAAATTGTGGATAAATATTAGTTCTGTGATACATTTACTTAATGTCTACAAAATAGAAATAAATTATTTAGCATGGGAAATGAGGGAAAGTGAAACATTCGATAGAAAAGATATTTTAACACCCAGTCGGCTATACCATCATATCAACCAGTCCTAATAGCCATTACAATTAATACAATAAAATACAAAGTGTGTGATGTCGAGCCTTCATACATCTGCTGAAAACACTAAATTGTAAAAAGTGAAGAGGTAAGTGAACAAATCATAAACGTCTGCTACATTTCTGTTTCTTCAATATTAAACAGCACATATATCCACTGATATGATACAAAAACAAAAATCACAAATAAATCTATATGTTCTATAATTATATCCTGATGACATCAGCTGATATTGGGAAATTTTAATGTTCTAATACAGCATGTGTAATGGACCTATTCATGTGTTACAATGATACTGAATGGAGGACAAATAAACAAAAAAGGCTGAGTTTATTATTAGTATCTCTAATAACTTAAATGCATAAAGAAAATGACCGTATAATAAAAATCTAGGTTGTGCTCAAATGAATGCTTCACTGATCTATTTTACGAGCGATAAGCATAAAATCGTGAATTTGCATTCAAATACAAGTACTATCTTCACTGCATAGTAGCAGATAAAACACTATGTGTGCACACACACAATCAAGGGGGCTCCTTTTATTCCTGAAGGGCAGAATGGACAATAGGGAACTGAATTACGTCAACAGCACTGCCTGATACGAGATGGGCAGACAGCAGAGCGGGAGAATGGGGGAAGACAGAGAAAGAAGAATGGACGGATGCAACAAAGGCTCTCTAAAAAAGCGCAAGAAAGACTGGTGTTCAAAATTTCTGCCATCAGACAGGCAAAACAAATAAAGAGAGCTGCTGTACAGGTACACAGCTCAATATGGCCCACCGGACCAAGCTCTGGCTGCGAACAGGGAAGAGGAGGCAAGGCTTTATGCTCATACAGATGAGCCATTAGCTCTCTCTCTCTCTTGCTCTCTCTCTCTCTCTCCCCCCTTTTTCAAAGAAAGGTTTATGGAGACCACTGCTGGGTTGAGGAGGGTGAGAAAAGCTAAGGCTCTTTCTCCTCTGAACTAATGCATCCCCAAAGTTTTGTTAAAGCGTCGTTATTTACTCCTGCACTGAGCCCACGGTCATCCCCAGGAGCGTCGGAGAACAAGGTATTAATATGAAAATGCTGAAAGTTATTGCCATGAAGGACTGTGCTGCTCCCGTGCAGATCAATAGTGAAAAATTGAGGATCTATCCATTTGGGACATTGTTAGTG